ATTAATTTCTAGATGACATGTTACCGTTGATCCACGCCTAGGAAAGCCTATAGGCAATCAAGGTCTAATAAATTGTGAAACTATGCTTTTCTTACTTGTGACTGCCCAGATCAATAGGTTTTTTTTAAAAAAAAAATCAGTTCGAAAATTGATTAGGCCTTTAACGCAAATGTTGCATACTCTCTGCTTGTCATGCTCGCCTAGATATCCTGTTCTAGGACCCCACTGAAAATATCTGAAATCTGCTGTTTGAGTCGTGCACTTGCTTGCTCTATTTGTGGAGGTAAAAAGTGAGCCTTTTAACTATTCTATCCTTGGTCCAGTCCTACGTGTTTTGTTTGTCGCCTAGAGTTTTCTCCTTTTAATTACTGTAGGAGAGTCTAGATCTACCTTAACTAGAAGTCCTAAATACCACCAGGACTATATAAGTAAAGGGACGGTAGTGTACGCATAGGACACATCTTAAGGTTACTAGAACGCTTTAGGCTATGACCAAGGGGAGGGAAATTGGGTAGTAAAGGATATGATGATATGTGCGCTAATGCCACGTGTAACCCCTCTAGTTGAGGAAGGCTTACCGGGTATTGTACAAATGTGATCCTATAGGCTAACAAACCTAGGACTTCCCTCACCTTATATACATTGTCTGCTTAGACTGCCTATCTGTTAAATTTCCTTTATTTGCATATGTGTGCTTAGACTGCCTATCTGTTAAATTTCTTTTATTTGCATATGTGTGCTTAGACTGCCTGTCTGTTAAATTTCCTTTATTTGCATATGTGTGCTTAGACTGCCTATCTATTAAATGACAAATTCACATAATTTGAGTTTGGCCGGGACCCACCGTTGTGGACCGCGAGGGGTGCCTAACACCTTCCCCTCAAGGTTATTTCGAGCCCTTACCCAAATCTGTGGTAATGCAAATCGGTTTTATGAGTTACTTGCTTTGGGTGCCCTAACACACCTTAAATCCGTTAGGTGGGGACTTTTCAAATTCAAATACCCAATTTCCAAAAGGAAATGAGTTGTTCCCAATGAATGTCGAAACCCGGACTCCGCGAGGAAAAAGGGGGCGCGACACTCGCCGCAGAAGCGGGACCGCACCTGTGGAAGGAGAAGCGCAAAAGCTGAATGAGGGGGGCCTGGTGAAGGACCGAAGATGCGGTAGTGGGGCCGCACCTGCAGAATCGCAGAAGCGGTTAGGTGACCGCAGGTGCGAAAATACTAGAGGCATTGAGGTCTTTAAATCGGGGGTTTGGTTCATTTCAACCCTATTTCTTCCATTGAAGCCGATTTTTGGAGCAACTTTGAGGTGCCATTTTCACTACCAAGCATGAGGTAAGTGGTTTATACTAGTTTTGAGTTAAATACATTATTGTATATGGATTTGAACATGGAAATTAGTGGAAATCTTGGGGTTTGTGGGAAAACCTAGAAATTTGGTATTCTTGGATTTTGACTACGATTTTAGACATAAAATTGAGAGTAAATTATGTATTTGAGTTCGTGAGGTTGTGGGAAAACTTTATCTTCGAAAATTTTTGGAATCCGGGCATGTGGGCCCGAGGGCAATTTTGTCAACTTTTCGATCGGGGTTTGAAATTGTTATAAATTGGATTATTATGAGTAATTGAACATATATTAATGGGTTTGCATATTGGCTAGTTATGGAGCGTTATGCATCGATTTTAGTCTTCGGAAGGGCGTAAAATATCGGTTATGGAACTTCGGAGCAAGGTGAATCTCCTTTTGTAAGAGGGAATTGTCCCTAAAGGTGGATTAATTGGATATGTGCTTCTATTTGTGGGGGCTACGTACACACGAGGTGACGAGAGTCCGCGCATAGCTACTATTATGCTTATGTTCGGGTAGTCTAGGACCCAAAAGCATGCTCTACTTGAAATGATTGTACCCTCATTGATAGTTTAAATTGCTTTAATCGTATCGAAGTGGTAAATGATTTTTTAAAAGAATTAAACTTCATTTTCTCGACTTGTAAAGAGAAATTGACACTTCCTTGAATAATTGTTTCCCTGATGAAGTCTTGATTGACTGTTTGAATGTGTGTTTCTATGTGTACCTGCGTCGCATGTATGATTCGCGAGTGGGGTGATTGTTTATTTTTATTTGACCGCGTCGCATATATGATTCGCGAGCGGGGTGATTGTATATTTATATTTGACCGCGTCGCATGTATGATTGCGAGCGGGGTAATAGATGCATCTATGGTTCGCGCCATTCGACCCTCTGGCAGTGCACAGTTTAAATATTGTTGGATCGGGCTGTACGACCTCGGCATGATTTGCGCATGCTTTCATTGCTTGCCTTGAAATTCATAAATGTTGATATTTGTTCTCCTTGCCTGGGATAAATGTATTAATGATAAAAATGAATTTGGAAATTTCCTATGAACGAAAGAATTGTTTACTTGCCTCACGCTATTGAGCTACAACCATTTTTATGAAAATCCTCGATTTACTATATTATTCATATATTATTATTGGATCACTAGTAAGTGTCGAAGCTGATCTCTCGTCTCTACTTCTTTGAGATTAGACGGGATACTCACTGAGTACACGTTGTTTTTACTCATGCTACACTTGCTGTGCATTTTTGTTGCACAGGCACATGTACCTCTAGCGGCCTAATGGGCATAGAAGCATGGAGGATACGGAGACTTAGGTGAGCTGCATCTCTCGAGGCGACCCGCAGCCAGCATAGTCTCTTTCAGTGTATTGTATTTATTTTCTGTCCAAATTTGTATTTCAGACAGTTATTGTACTTCTTTTGATTTCCTAGTTATTGCTCACGCACTCGTGGCACCGGGTTCTAGGATGATTTCGCAATTATTCAGTAAATAAATTTTGTAAAGACATCATTATTTATTCAGTGGAGTTTATTATTCATTGTTTAATGTTTAGCAGAAATGATTTTGAAAATATTAAAACGAGAATTTACTAGTTATATGGTATTTTCTTGCCTGACAGTGGTGTCCGGCGCCATCGCGATCCTTAGTGATTTTGGGTCGTGACAATTATGTCCCAAACTAATAGGATTATAAGGCTAATACCTAGAATTACGGTTATGTCCTTTTATTGTGAGTTATTATACTTAATATTAAAAGGTTATTTCTGTAAACTAACATTATATTCATGCTTTTAAATATATACTAGTTTCTCACGTGCGATGCACGTGTATGTTAGGTCATGTGATATAAGAATTTATAAAACAATATCAATATGTATTTTTGAAGTAAAAGTTTGAATATAATTATACATGAACGAATAAAGTGCAAGTTTCTGTGAATGAGGTCAGTGTGAATCGTCAAACTGTGACTTGCTTATCGAGGTTAGATGGTTGGATATCTTCTCAATCTGCGGAAACAAACAATCAAAGTTTAAATAAATACGTATTTTTAATATTTATTTAGCTTTTTAACTGGGTATTTGCATTCAAAGAATACAAACACGGAAAAAAAAATATATCAGTAGTTTCCAAACGCTACTTTTTGACCTCTCGATGATAGCATATGCTTGAAAGTTCGTATATATTTATATTAGATCTGTAGGAGAAGCAATATAAGTGACATCTTTATGCAACATGTGCATTAGATTGCAATTTTATTTATTTCAATACCTTGTAAGCATATTATGTTATTATAATATAACAATATGGTAGGTTTATATCCAAAGCTACATGCACTTGCTCCTACATATATATAATTGCAATTCTTTCCTTTTCTTCTGACGTTATAATAATTTATTCATTCTTTAAGTTTTACCATTTAAACACAATTTCATAGGGTATTCGATATCTAGGGAACCTGATATGACAAAAAAATTAAAATATAAATAAGAAAAGCAGCAATTATTGTGAGCAACACGACTCCATTATTTTTTAAACAGGAAAAAGAAAGACATCGGCTTCTTTTGGAATATTACATTAAAGTTAGCTACACTTGCTTTCATAGGGGTAAAATGTTAATACTAAAATTGTCGTTTTAAATAACAACTGAAACTAACTACTTGCGTTTTAATTTCAAAAGTATGTTTGTTAATAGAACATGGTTGATGTTTGAATTTAAAGATGAACTATGAGGACGGGCCAATTATATCCTTTTACGTTAAGAACCTATGTATTTTATGATTGGTGTTTGAATTTAATTAAAGATGAATGACATTGAGTTAAGTCATTATTTCTTGTCTAAATAACAAGCTAGTATGAAAATATAAAATAAGAGAAATTTTTATATAAAACAAATTCTCCTTTATTTTTATAGTTTTATAATATTTTCTGCTTTCCACAATTATAGAACAAAACTTCTTTATTTAACGTGTAGATTGGTTCGTTGCCTTTAGGGAATTTGCTTTCTTCTTCCCCCTCGGTACGAATTGTTAGAGATTCTTTCAATCCCAAGAACATGTAGAGATTTCTTTTCTTACCTTGTTCCACAAAATGACAAATCACAATGACTGTCAACTTTCCCATGGTGGAAATTTTCATTCACTACTACCCACTTTTTTTGATAAATTTTCAATATTGCGTGCTTTGGAGCTACTACTACTCTTCTTCTTCTATTCCTTTGAAATATATCTTTGTGATTTTGTAAACGGAAGCCTTTGTAAAGGAAGGCAACCACGATTAGGAACAGTTAGATGGAAAAACTGTAAACATTAGTAACTAATATGAAAGATTATAACCTTTCGAATAAATTTGGTAATTTTTCATAAATAAAATTTAATTAATTTAGAAGGGCATTTAGGTAATTCAACATTTGAGTTTATATATATATATATATATATATATATATCAAATACTATTGATAATTCAAATTAATTAAAAAACTATATGAAAATATATTAAAAATCATTTTCGACTCCCCGAATAGTAATAACTAAACATAAAAAGGGATAGAGGGAATATAATGATAAGACACGGCGTTTTGGTTAGTCCGCCGTGACATTACCATACCAGGCCAGCTGCATATGAGGTTACTAGAATTAGCAACTTCAACACTTTATTGTGCATTTATCACTTCCTTGTTTCTACTTTATAAGTCTACACTGAGACAAGAATTAGGCACAAGATATAAGCCCACATGGGATCAGCAGAAAGTGCTAAATGAAAATGGACCACTATATCATGTGGCTACTTGCCCATTTGGATTCCAAAAGGGATCAAAATGAAGACCAACTGATGAAATCAAAGGGATTGCCCTTGATTCAATTATCCTGATCCTCACACTATAACCACTCACCATTCCTTTTTCTAGCCTGTGAAGCTTCTTGTATCCTATTGTGGTTCCATTTGCAATTTTCATCCCATTTACATAAATTTCATGTTTTTTGATCCTTTGACCTAGTCCTATTGCTTCTTGAATTCTTACCACATTAAATCTCAATGGTTTGTCCTTCGCTTTGAACTCAATCCAATGGTCATCTTCATCTTCATCTCTTGGAGCCCAATATGTCCACAAATGGTCATTGTCTAGCACGTTTTCGGGTCCAAAACCTCCATTTTTACCACCCCTCTGACTACTTGCTTTGATCGAACACTTGGTGGCCAAATTGGTGGAGAATATTGTGTCGATTGCACTTCTAAATTCTTTGAGTCTTTGCACATCGCTGTCAGATATTAGTCCTTGTTTATTAGGAGGCACGTTAAGTAGCAATACGCAATTTCTTCCAACGGACTTGTAATAGATTTCGAGTAAATCGCTAAGGTTCTTTGGTGCTTGTGATTTATGCCAAAACCATCCTTTTCGAATGGATACATCGCATTCTGGTGGTAGCCAATCTGTCCCTTTTGGATCTCCACTGTTGAGATAACTGCATTTTGTTTAGCAAAGTAAGCATTTAGCATTATAGTTTATAAAAATACAATCTTTGATATCACTCACTTTGTGTAAATAGAATCCGCTCCTATATATATACTATATTTCCTCAATGACTAATAATTTTCCATTTGTACTCTATGAAAATGTCCCACCAAATGACTGGACGTAACAGCCACAATCTAATAATTGACATGTATCTTCTTGCTTTTCATACAAAGGGTAATTGACGTACATTGTTAACCAAGAATCAGTTGTCAATATTACTGAATACAGCTAGCACAAACAATATTAAGGGAAATAATTGTATTTACGCTGGGCAGAATATAGTTTACGTACTCAGCGTTGCTATTGCCAATAGACAGTAATGTTCGATTGATGGTGGACCAACTTGTGCTTCCGGCGAATCCGTCCTCATTTCCGACCCATCGGACGCCCGGGCCGGCATCGGAAAATATGTTGATAGTGCTCTGCAGTTCCCTCACCATTGCGAACCAATCATCAAAGTAGTAAGTCATGTTTGGTGCGTTCGAACCCTTTGCTCCATCAAACCATATCTCTTTAACATCTCCATATCTTTCAACCATTAATAAGAAAACTATTAGTTACATTATTCTTTTTTTAGCAGCAGGTAATTAACCGTCTATAAAGAGTGAAACTAATAACCTAAAATATTAAACGTGTTATCTGGTACAACATGTTAAAATATTGAAGGCAAAATTCTTTATTAATAGCATGTCGATGTACAATCAAACATCTCTATAACAACCTCATTTGTTCCGATATTTTTTAGCTCTACAGTGAAGTGTTGTTATAGAGGACATATATTATAACATAACATAAGATACGGTTCCGAGAAAAACTTGACTTTTATAGTGAAAATCTATTATATATGGATGTTGTTATAGAGATGTCTCATTGTATATAGGTTAACTTTTTTTTAAAGGACTTCTTTATCCTAAAACTGTCTTGAATGAATCTGGTAGCTAATGCCGCCAGAGCAGCTTGCAGTAAGTATCGTCACATCGCCTCCCACATGTAACATAGCATGCATGTAACCTGTCGAATTGAAATTCAAAGTGGGGTGGGGTGGGGGGATCGGCTTACTTATTGAGAAGTTCTTGTAGTTGAGCCAAATAGTGTTCATTGTACTCCTTATTTTTACCATATCTCTTATCATGGCGATCCCATGGCGAAAGGTACAAACCGACGTCAACGCCACGAGCCTTGGCCGCATTGACAAACTCTTTAACCACATCACCTTGTCCATTCTTCCAAGGACTTCTAATGACTGAATAATCAGTGTATTTTGAAGGCCATAAGCAAAAACCATCGTGGTGTTTAGCAGTGAGTATAATAAGTGACACTCCTGCTTGGACAGCCGTGTCAACCCATTGGTTGGCATCTAGGCGGGTCGGGTTAAAAATAGAAGGATTTTCATGTCCGGTGCCCCATTCCCTATCCGTGAACGTGTTGACACCAAAATGAAAGAACATAATGAGTTCTCTTTGTTGCCATTTTAGCTGAGCGTAACTTGGTAATGGGAGAATTGGCAATGGAGGTGGTGTTATTTTCACTTCTTGGCTAGGAAATATAAATTGCAATAAGGTGAAAGTTGTAATGATTAGACATGACATAGAACTATAAGGCTTAGCCATGAAATGTTTGCAATGTTGATAAGTATGGTCATCTAATAATTCAGTTGTGAATACATAAATATGGAGAAGATAGGGAGTGAATAAGTGCCAAAATAAAGTGGGGACGTTTTCCTTTTCTCTTTTTGCGTGGTGTACCATACAAGGAGATTCTTTTGTAGAAGCTCCAAGAATAAAAGGAGGGGGGAAAGAGGGGAAATCTTGAAAAGGTTTTTGTTTGATTGTTGAAAGAGAAGTAAAAGGTGATGTAGATGAAATTGGTTTCTTACTTTTCTGCCTCTTAATTTGCACACTTTCACGGGTTGGCCTCCCAGTGTCTGCCGCATTGGATTAGGTAATTGAGACATTTCGCTGTTTACTTCCCAAGGAAGAGTAACAGTTTGCATTATTACTCAGAAAGGAACGAACACTAACTAGCTATCTTTATTTGTCCATTCGCATGTGGGAAATAATGAAAACAGTTTGTGCTTAATGCCATGTCTACATTAATTTCAAGTGCATTATGAAGTTGATATGCAATGTCTTAAAGGAAACCACTTGAAATCAATGGGGAAGAAATTTGAGAAATACTCTGTTTCCCTTTTTTATTTTTTTGATATCAAAATGCCATATATAAAAATTTTATTCTAAGATATTGTTTTTCTTCCTCGTAGTTCAACAAGGGATCCTGCGTTTGAAAATAACCTTTTTTAAAAAAGCAAGGTTATAAATCTGTGGACTTTGGTACAATCCTTCCCAAATTCCGAGCGTAACCGGAGCTTAGTACCCTTTTTTTTTTGTGTGTAGTGCCCTTGTCGATCATTCCTTTCATCATCTGAAGGATAAAATATAGAAGGTTGTTGTGACCAAAAACACTCACGCAAGTATACGTGGTCGTCAAGTAATAGAGTAGTGAGTAGAGTATCGTTCCCACGAAGACTTATGATTAACTTTTGACTGATTCGAACTAAAATAATGTCACTACCCAAAATCCCTCCGAAGGAGTCGTGACGGCACCTAGTTTCTAAGACTAGGTAAGCCTAACATTAACAGAAATAACGATAATATTCACTAACTTCGAGCTTGAAGATAACAAGGTAATACCAATAGCAAGAAGAAATCAAATTACAACAATAGAGATGATAAGGGGAAAACACGGATGGTAACGAAAATAACCAGGTAATTACACACCAACACAGTTGGGATACAGAGAAGTAAAATGTGATCAAATAAGGGAAAGCGATATTAACTCAACCAATCACATCATTTTTAATACATAAATTCCAACCATCTCGATACTCGTAGCCTCATATCAAAATTCACAACTTCCTAACCTTTAACACACAAGGCACCTAGTGGCCACATATTTCCACCTCACTTTGCACGACATAATCCACGTGCTACTCAGTACATAATATCCGTAACAAACGCAAATTAAGAAGTTCAAGGAGTCCCATTTATATAACATAAAGTAAATTACAGTTTCTAAACTAAATAGGAAATCGGCAATAAAAGATGAAGTTATTTTTAGAAATCATTTGGGTGAAGAAAATAACTTTTTCAAAAAAAAAAATACAACATCAACTAAGCTATCGCCCTTAATATAAGATTTATTAAATTAAAACTTAATAGCAATTCCTTTTAAGAAAATACAACCTCAGACAGGTTAAGGAAATTTAGTTGAGAAACCAATTGAAATAAAATATAACAATTATTACAATTTGTAATACTGAAATATATACGGCGAGTTCTAATTTAAAAGTCATACATGGTAGCATGATATTAATTCCTTTATTTTAAATCACTATATTGCTAACAACTCAGCAGGGCAAGAGGAAATGACTCAACATAGTAATTTTACTTTGAAAATTAATTCACCAGACTAATAGTATCAGGAAAGGACTCAGGGGATGACGGCAAGTCAATAAGTCAAGGTAAATAACTCGATCTTAGTAAAAACCAGAAATACAAATTATCAAAGTCTTGCACGAATGAACTAAAGTCAATAAAGTAAAACAGGGGATACCAAAATGCAAGATATGTCAATTCACCCTTATTCCTCCTCAATATATCACCCTTATTCCTCCTGTTACGGCGTGCAACCCGATCCCACCGCACAATATCAATATCATAATAATAACATAATATGCAGCGGCGTGCAACCCGATCCCACCATATAATAGCTATATCATAATAGTAACATAATATGTTGCGGCGCGCAACCCGATCCCACCATATAATATCAATTCACCCTTATTCCTCCTCAATATATCACCCTTATTCCTCCTGTTGTGGTGCACAATCGGATCCCACCGCGCAATATCAGTTCACCCTTATTCCTCCTCAATATATCATCCTTATTCCTCCTGTTGCGGCGTGCAACCCGATCACACCGTACATAATTTAAATCAACAACAACAAACCAACAACTCAATTACAAGAATTTCTACCACCAAGAGCACGAGTACACGGCAACAAGAGAATCACGTAAAAATCAAAGAAATACAACAACCTTTACAAAAACAACAAGACATGTAAGGCACATGATAACTACACAGGCAACCACAACAATTTGGGCACGTAGCATATATGCACAGAGGAACTTACAATTAAGGAGTAACAAAAATAATAAGGAAGGCAATCACTTCAACTAAGAGAAATAAGGGACAATTAACAAGTAAAAGGTAAAGAAGTGCTAATAACATCGTATAGAGCATGTAGAGGTGAAACTAGAAAATACAAAACTCAATCATATCAGCACAACGTCCTACTTAGTGAATTCAAGGACCTAAGAACCCACAAAGGCAAACTTTTCACAAATAAGTCCGAGCACGCACTCGTTACCTCGCGTACACGGACTACAGTTAGCATAGAAGACTCAAATCCTAAGGCGAAATCCCCCACAAAAGGTTAGGCAAGATACTTATCCCAGAGGAGACAAACCGGTACTCCAAAATGAACTTCTCGGATGAAAAGACCTCCGGATAGCTCAAATCTAACCAAAATAACTTCAAAGCACAAATAAAACTCATAAGAAACTATTTCGGATCATAAAGTCTCAATCTTTATTGAATTCTAAAAATCGGTCCAAAAGTCGACCCCCGGGACCACGCTTCGGAACCAGATAAATTTTATAAAAACCGAATACCCATTCCGATACGAGTTCAACTATACAAAATTTATCAAATTCCGATACCATTTGGTTCCTCAAATCATGATTTTACATTTTGAAAGTTTTCTTAAAAATCCCCATTTTCCCTCAACCCAAAACACAAATTAAATGATAAAAATGAATACAAAATCATGGAATAAAATTAATTCTAGGTGAAGAACACTTACCCAATCGTTTTGCTTAAAAAACACACGAAGAATCACCCAAAACTGAGCTCTAGAACTCCAAAAATGGTGAAAATGGCAAACCCTCGGAATAGAGTACTATTTATTCTGCCCAGGTCATAAAGTATCGCGAACGTGGAAGGATGCACGCGTTCACGAAGAAGAAAAATGAAGGCTGCCAGGATGACCCTACATGAACGCGAGCAAGGGCAGCGAATGTGAAGAATAAGAAGCAGGAACATAGGCGAACGTAGGAACAAGGACGCGAACGCGAAGAGTAAATGACCACCAGTGCCTAGCTCCCATTTTCTACTATGCCGAACGCGATGGGACAGACGTAAACGCAAAGAAGGGAAAGGGAAGAACTTTGCGAATGCGAGAGGAAGAATGCGAACGCGAAGAGGAAATGTTCCACCCTATAAATTAACACTACGCGAACGCGAGAGCTAAGACGCGAACGTGATGAAGGGTACCAGATAGCAGAAACAGCAGCTCAAAAATAGAAGAAAATGGCCTGTAACCCATCCGAAATGCACCCGATGCCCCCGGGACCCCGTCTAAACCTACCAACAAATTCTATGACCTAACATGGGCTCGTTCGAGGTCTCAAATCACATCAAACGACACTGAAACGATGAATCGTAGCATGAATCGAACTTATGAACTTTCCAATTTTCCAACTTCTAAAACTCGCGCTGAAACCTATCAAACCAACCCGAAATGACGCCAAATTTTGCAGGCAAGTCCCAAATGAAATAATGGAGTTGTTCCAACTCTCGAAATCACATTTCGACCCCGATATCACAAAAGTCAACTATGGGTCAAACTTCTCCATTTTCCAAAACTTCAATTTCCAATTTTCGCCAAAATGCTTCAAATTGCCCTACGGACCTCCAAATCCAATTTCGGACATACGCCTAAGTCCAAAATCACCACCCGAGTCTATTGGAACCAAAAAAAATCCAATCCGAGGTCAAATACTCAAAAGTCAAATCTTGGTCAATTCTTTCAACTTCAAGCTTCTCAAATGAAAGTTACTTCTAAAAATCCTTCCCGATCTTCTCAAAAACCAGGACCGTTGATGCACGTAAGTCATAATACACTGTGTGAAGCTACTCATGACCTTAAACTGCCAAACTCGACGCAACTGCTCAAAACGACCAGTCGGGTCGTTACATCCTCCCCCACTTAAACATACGTTCGTCCTCGAACGTGCCCGGAGTCGTTCCAAAGCCATCGAACCACTGCATGAGCTCACCATACATACACCCAGGGGGTGATTCCCCATCACCCAAACCTATGTAGGACTGACATTGCAATTTAACTGAAGATCGCACTTCTCCTTAGTCCATAGCCTTAAGGCAGAACCCAAATCTCAACATCTGAAATTCATCATAGGACCCGAATCTTGCATTATCACACTGTATAAACATGAACAAGTCGAGTATAATTCCCACCTAGGGTACATCCACATGATGTTCCACACAACTCAAATGCCTGTAGCAATAACCTCTGGCCGCCATAGCTGCTCAAATAACATCTTGGATGCCAGCAATACACTTCGCATTGAATATAACCTTGCTCCGGACCTCCACGACACTGCCCATCATAAAGAAACATGCGTAAACTCCTAGCCACCCATGAAGTTAGCAAGTCAAGAAGCTCTCTCGTCCGTCAAGGGCCATTGCCCAAATCTTAGCAAAAACAACCTCATACTTCCAAACACTCCTCACCCCCAATACGATAGTGCTAATCTCAGGTCTAAGAACCTCATCTTAGCCAATACAAGCAACCCAACTAAC